TTACCCTCAGTCACATCTCCCAGTGTTTGCTCCTGCAACGACTCCCAGGGCTGAGACATCATACTTCATCACCCCTCCTGTGTGAGGGCCCCCTGGTCTGGTCCTGTCCCCCGACTTCCTAAAGGACACTGGGCATCGCTTTGGCCACATTGATTGCTACTGGCACCCTTTGCTGTGTGTCCCTGTGAGTTGTCATTAGAAGGGTGAGGCACACCCGCACATGTCTACTGTCCTTTCCTCCATCCGGTGGCCATGCTCGGATGAGCTCTTGGCAGTCTCCTGACACATAGAGTTCTTCTGTCTGGCCCAGAGCAGCCCAGGGACCCATGCTTGCCACCTGCCTAGAGCCTCACGGGTATACACATGGTGTGAGAAGTGCTCTGCCACTCACGGCCAAGTGCTCCACGGCTCACGATGAAAACCTGGGAGCATCTTTGCCCTTTTCTCTTCCTCCCTTTCTTTTCTTTCCTTCCCCCTTCTTTTCCCCTCCTCTCCCCCTCACTGTGCTCTTTCTCCTCCTTTTCTTCACTTCCCTCCCTCCTCCCTCTCCGTCCTGACCCCCTCCCTCCCCTTTCTCTACAGTCATTTGCTCCGGAAACTCACTTCAGAGCACATCTGGCTTTGGCTCCTCTGGCCACAGCTGCTAGGGCTCCCCCGAGTCCTGCACACCAGCCTTGCTGAGCTAGTTCCTTCTCAGCTGTCTTTACACCCTGCTTCCTCATTTCAGTCAATCTGTTATTGCTCTCCAGGGACTGCGAGGGGCCGGTCTGAGAAACAGCACCCTGCTTTACCTTACACAGCAGGGATTGCCTGCTAGGAAATGAAAAGTTTACTCCGTCACTTCTGACTCACAAGTGTACACATGGGCGTGCTTGCACGTGTGTGTGGATAGGTATGCCTGGGCACGGACACTGAGAAGGTTTAGCAGCCCTGTCCCACCATTCCACAGGCCAACAGATTGTCATCTACAGCGTTTACATTAGCGCAATCAAATTACAAAATAAAGTTGAAAAAAAAGTTTCATAATGTTTATAGTTAAGTATGGTTTTGTATTAAACTGGCCTGGCTGTCCTGGGGCACATGCAGCTCCAGAGCTATGGTTGGATGTGCTGGGAAAGGTGCCAAGTGATGATTCCTACTTTGTATTCTCCTCACAAGCCTGATTATTTTAGTGACTGCCTTTATTTAATAAGGCATGATCACATATAACCCTCTTCTATAGACATGTGCATATACCTGGTGAAAGGATTCACTGAGATCATTTCTTCATGTTTTCTGCATAAGCTTGGCCTTTTGGGGCTTTTATATTTGTGGTGGCATCCACAAATGTTCGTACTAAGACATGAATTAATTAAACGCTATTGGGATTGCCTGCTAGGAAATGAAAAGTTTCACTCCATAATTTATTATATTTTCTCACTAGGACTAACAGAAGTGAATTTTGTTAATTTCTAGAAGGGTCATGGGAAGACTTGGGGTTCCATGTTGTGTAGAATTTTTTTTTAGTTTATTTATTTATGTATTTTATGTATATGAGTGCTCTACTTGCATATATTCTTGTATGACAGAAGAGGGCATCTGATCCTATTATAGATGTTTGTGTGAGCCACCATGCAGTTGCTGGGAATTGAACTCAGGACCTCTAGAAGAGCAGCCAGTGCTCTTAACTGCTGAGCCATCTCTCCAGCTCCCTTGTAAGGAAAATTCTTAAGATCAAGGACTCCTTGCCCATCACTACTCCAGTCATACCTACCTGTCTCTCCGCCGGAGTCCAAGTACCGTTGTGGGACAGAGGGTGCAACCAGCGTGTCCACTGCTGGTGTCCGCAGAAGGGTTATGGAAACTAGCAGGGCTCATTGGATGCACATGGAGAGGGCTGAGCACCCACTCATCACTGGTCTCATCACTGGATCATGTTGCTGGGTGAGAGGTGCTGGATACTCTGGAGTCACAGTCCTGGCCTGCGGACTGTATACTGGAATATGCATGACAGATAGCCAAGGAAGAGACACCGGCACTTTAAAGAAAGATCAAACTCTATTGCTCTTTATGTATTCTTTTCCCTAAATCAGTAAGCCAGTGAGAGAGATAACTTAAAACACCTTTACCATTTACCACCATTAATAGTGTCTTCAGACAACTTAGCTCTAAAAATGCAAATGAGGGGCTGTAGAGGTGGTTCAGTAGTTAGTAACTATTACTGCTCTTGCAGGGGACCAGAGTTTTGTTCTTAGCACCAACACTGAGCAGCTCATAACTGCCTGTCACTCTAGCCCTGGGGAATCTGATCTCTTATTCTCGTCTCCATAAGTACACCTTCAGGCACAGGCACATGCACATACACACACATACCTGTCCATAAATAACAAAATACATTTAAAATGCAAGTGACTCATCACTATAGAAGGCATCTGTACATAATACATGCGTTCTATGTGCCTCATTAGCATATGTTAATTATACATAGTAACAGGGTTCCTTGTGGCAGTTTCACACGTGTGTGTATATAATGTATTTTGATCATATTCACCCCGTTTCCCTCTCTTGTTTCATCCCACTCCCACTGGTCTCCTCCCCGATCGATATCCCTTGTACTTCCGTATCTTATTTGTGCCCATTTTCCATGATAGATGCAAACAGGCTTTGTGACCATGAGCTTTGGGAATGAGGGAGCCAGTGGGCTTTGCAGCCTGAGAGGTTTGAAGATCAGGGACACAGGGCTCCTAGCTCTGCGCCTGGGTAGTTTTGCAGCTGGCTGGCCTTGGCAAAACTCTTCTTGATGCAGCTCAAAAAGGCTCCAGTCACCAGTGTGCTGTCTGAGCAGAATGCCTCTTTCCTGCTGGCGGTCGCAATGCTATTTCTAGGCTCTTCCTATGTGGGACCACCAGCAGCAAGGTATATCTCTAGAAGGACTGTGTTGTCTTTTGTCTGAAGAGTCAGAAGTTATTGCCAAGTGAAGGCAGAGAATAGACCAGTAGCCTAGTCGTGGCATTTTCTGGAATAGGCATACTGAAGCCATTCAAGGCCAGTTGCATGCAGGTGAGAGGCTTAGGAGTCGGGGGTTAGGGCTCTGCTGGAGAAATAGAGTGAGTGTTAAAGGCCTTGGGCGTGAGCAATCTGCTCATGAGTGTTAAAAGAGACATGAGCGTTTGCATGCTGTATGGGAAAAGCCTGATGTCCTAGTGTAAAGGAAGAGAGAGGGATGCACCAAAGAGACACCGGTCTGTCTACCAGGATGCCCCGTATGTGGCTGCTCTCAAAGCCCTCATTGAAGGGACCAGGAAGCCTTTTCATACTGGAGCAGGAAATGGCCACTGATGGTTTGTGCTCCATGACTGTAAACCCATCAAAACCAGCACAGTTCCTTCAGGAGTATTGCAGTCCTGGTGAGCAAAGCCATACTTGAAGAAAAGCAAAAGTTTTAGAAATTCTGGTGCAATCTTGCCCCATACTCCTGGCTTCTTCCAGGGGCTTGTGCTTACCCTCCCTTCCTCCCCCCCCTTTTCTTCCCCTCTTCCTTTCCTCCCCTTTTAAGCTAATAGTTTTCCATTCCTGCCGTCCATAGCATAAAACTCATTGTCTTAGAGTCCTCATGCAGGGGTTCTGAGTATGTTTGCAGATGGTCTTGTGACCGTCACCATGACTTGATTCCAGAATGCTTTCGATGGTCTCCAGTAACCCAGGACCATGCAGTGCATCTCAGAAAACCGGGTGTTGTCTTTCTCTCTCCATTGATTTGCATGTTGGACGTCTGGCCCATGAGTGGTTGCATAGAATGAAGGGCTCCGGTGCCTAGTGTCCTTTACTTAGCATAGTGTGTTCAAGATTGACCTTCAGCTTGGGGGAAATGACTCAGTGAGTAAAGTGCTTGCCGAGGACCCAAGTTCAACCCCTCAGAACACATGTGAAAACCCAGGCATGGCTCTTGCAACCCTAGCACTGGGGGATAGAGACAGAAGAACCACCGGGCTTATTACCCACCAGCCATGGTCAAGTGGTGAACTTTGGTGAAGTGAGAGACCCTGTGTGAAGTTTTGTTAAGTGAGAAACCCTGTGTTTAAAAAAAAAATGGGCGTGATAGTGATTTAAGAAAGACATCCCAGGATCAACCTCTGGCCTTCATTACTGTCTGCACAGGTGAGCATACCTACCACACACACACACACAACACACACACACACACACACACACACACACACACACACACACACACACACACTTTGTGTCTTAATGTGAATCAGTACTGTAGTTCCTTTCAAGACCAAAAGAGTTGCATGGTCACGCAACACTCACCAGTTAATGGACATGTGGGTTGTTTTCACCTGTAGCCTAGTGTGGGTGATGCTACTTTGATCATGTGTGTGCAGGCCTTAGTGTGTAGCTGTCCTTTCATTTATCTCAGGCATTTCCTGGGTCATAGGCCACCCTTAGCTTTCAAGATCTGCAAAGTGTTTCCCAAGCAGGCCTCGCTGCTTCCCAACCCCTACCAGCCCCGTAGATTTCTCTGCATCCCATTGGAACCATTTAATATAATTACTAATGGAGAGTGCGTGCCCGCCTTCACACTGTTTCCCATGGCTCTTGTTTCTCCCAATTCCATTTTTCTCATTATGCATTCTTGAGTTGTGTTTCTTCAACATTGCTTTTCTTGAGGGGAAGAAACTTTCCATTGGGTGTCTACTATAGAGAGCAACACTCGCTGTCTCCCTGTAGGAATCCTGCTGGGACGGAGCTGGCTGGTTGAGGACTGGAGGATGGTCCTCAGTGATGGGCTGATCTGTTAATTCGCCGGTGGCATTTGCCTTTGTTACCGTCATTGTTTCTCTAGCAGGCTATCATGTTCTATGGATGCTTCCTGGGCTGAGTTCTCAGACAGCTGTTTACCCAGCTTGGGCTTGGAGACAGAAAGATCAGTGTCAACACCTTGCTCCTTCTTAGCATCCGAGCCTTGTCACCCACAGCTGTTCCTGTGCTGACCTCTCCATTCTCTTGCTCCCTAGGTACCTGGTGCTCTGCTGAGTCTGGCGTACCCAGGGCTCCCGTTCTCAGCTGGAGGGGCCCTCGTACAGAGACCTCTTTCTTCTACTTAAGGGAAGAGGAAACCTGAATGCTCACGGGCACAGCGGGACCCCAAGACCTGGCAGGAAGATACCGCCGCCTCTCCTCACCTCTGCCCTTCTCACAGGTACCTTTGGACTCTGGAAAGGAAGGCTGAGAGACCTTCTCTTATCTCTTTCTCACTGTCAGAGTCTCAGTGCCGGGGGGCAGTTGGCCTGCCTCGATAGACCTGTCTACCCTTCTTGTGCCATGTAGGTGAATTCCTTGTGGGTCTCTCCTGGATGAGTTTTAAGGAGTGCTGTGGATGCACTTACGTTACTTTTATGCTTCATAATGTGTCGCTCTTTGGCTGCTGCTTATTTTCACAGTATGAGGCTGATGTCGCTAATCTCATGCTGGAGCTCAGAACGCTGTTGTCACTTATGTGACTCACAGGGGGCAGGGGTGGTCTTCTGTATTCATTCATGCTCTGGCAACATAAAGTATGAGTTCGCATGTGTACCTGGTGCTCTTCTGACACAGCAACACCAGGGCTGCCTCTTGCTGTCTGTCAGGTGGGAGGTGAGAGGACAGGGTAGGAACAGCCGTGGGAGATACCATCTATAGCTGATGGTGTGAGGAAGTGAATTATGATGCTTGACAGGGTGTTGTAGAGAAAAGAAAATATAGGGAAAGCTTTATAAGTACACGCACAGCAGTTTTTATGGGTGGCCAGGACTTTGTAAATGGGTGGGATTTGAACTCAGACCTCAAGGAGCTGCACGCTTTAGCCACTTAGCACCTGGGCAAGAACACTGCCGAGGGAAACTGAGGTCACCAAGGCCTGAAAGCGGTGCATCCTGGCAGCTTGCAGAGGCTCCGTGGAAGACAAGAGTGTCTCAGAGGGAGCCTGGGAAAGCCAGAGTCAGGCTGGGTCCAGAGATGGCAGGAATCTGGGTTGTCTGACATGGCGGCCATTCAGAGATTTCAGGTCGCATCATGGGAAACCTGTGCAATTTTATTGAAGCAGAGGAGGAAGGGAATCCGCATTCCACCCGAGTAGACTCACTTTGGTGGCTGTGATGGAGTCGACTCGGAGGGTGAAGGACAGACGTACACTAGGAGGTGGTCCCAGCCACCAACCACCAGAAGAAACCACTGCGGCATCAAGGCAATACACAATGGTAGCGTATCGTGCGGGCACAGAAGGCGCAGAGAAAATTGAGCAGTCACTAGATGTATCTTGCAGATAGATTCTATAAGATGTCATGAGAAAAAGGAAAAAGGTTTATGAAATAATGTCTTCATACAGCTGGCCAGGAGGGGAAGGGGGACTGGGGAAGGTTTGGATTCAGGAAGGAACTGGAACGTTCCTTTTGTAGGCACGTTGAGTTTTTAATGATTCTGGGACACCCCAGGGAGGATGCTGCTGCACTGGCCGCTCTCCCCAGAGCCTACGTTAAGAGACTGATCCACGCTGAGATGGAATGAATGGGATTCTGACCAGTGGCCGCTGCTTGAAGGAATAAGATGTGAGGTGCCCGGTGAGGGAGAAATTTAGAAGTTGAGCTTTGGGACCTTCTAGCTTCAGGAAGAGCATGAGTGGAGGGTTGGCTGGAGAAGGAGATCTACAGGAGACAACCAGGAAGGAAGGAGAAGCAAGGGCTGGCCACATGAAGGCATTTTCAGAAGGGAGCCGCCACCAAGGAGCTGTGTCAGGGGCTCATGGCCTGGGTGAGGTGAGTCAGACTGATGGATGCTGGGGTCTGAGCCATCTGGGTCACTGGTGATGCCAGTGGGGTGGTTTGGTCTGGTGGCCGTGACGGTGCTGGCAGGAGTGATAGAGAGAGTTGGGAGGTGCTTTGAGCAGCCTTACTGCAGAAAGAGCACAATCAATCGATTGTGCAAAGTTCAGAAGAGTTATTTATTTTTGAGCTGGAAACAGTCTCCCCGACCTGCGTGTTGGGGGAGTGACTGCGTCTAATGACATCGTGAGTGCGCTGCTGAAGCCATTCTTGTCTCTGGCCTGAGGAGTCACTGGGGCTTACCGTGGGAATGCTGTCGGGGGATATGTAGCTATGCTGTGTACTGGGTGGCAGAAATCTACAGGTCTGCAGGTGTGTTTCTTTGTGATCTAGGAAGACAGGTCGTCCGCTCTGATGGTTAATATTGACTGTCAACTTGACAGGATCTAGAATCATCCAGGAGACATATTTCTGAATGTGTGTGTGTGTGTGTGTGTGTGTGTGTGTGTGTGTGTGTGTGTGTGTGAGTCTCTAGAGTGGATTAATTAAGACAGGCAAACTAACCCTAAATGTGGATGGCATCATTCCATGGGCTGAGGTCTTGAACTAAACAAAAAGGTGAAAGCTGGTTGGGCGCTGGCATTTGCAGGCACCTCTCTCTCTCTCTGCTTCCAAACTTCAGAGGCAACGTGACTGAGCCACCCCACGCTGCTGCTACCGTGAGCTAAAATATTAAACCTACATGGCTCAGCTGGGGCGTCGGAGGCACACAGTAATAGGCCACGAGCTGAGTTGCTGTTCGGCTAGACATACAGGGACAAAAATGAGGGAGAATGGAGCTGCTGGCATGCAGGAGAGACGGGGAGTCTGCTCACAGTGGAGGCTGTGAGATGCGGTGAGAAGGGAGCTGAGTTTAGTGATGGGGAGGTGCACACCCTGGGAGTCAGGACTTAGAGGAGGTGAATGTGGGTACCACCCGTGGCCCTATGAGTGATGAGGGACCAGAAATCAAGAATCTCCATGGTACTTTCTCTGAGCCCCAGAAACGCAGGCCCTCTTCTGCCACACACTCATTATTTGTTCTTTAAAAGGCTCCGCTTCGGGAATTCCAGACCCACCCTCCACGTACCCACGTTACCAGCTTGCTGTTTTGAGGACAGAGATGGATTTCTTTGCCCAGTCAGTACCGTGGTCAGGTGCATGGTGCCATCAAAGGTGACATTTCAAGGGATATCCCGCTGCCCCGTCTCTTCCTTGGGACACAGTGTTGTGAGCTTGTATCTTCTCATCGACATTTTAGGATCATGGCCGTGCTGTCTGTAAGGAACTTACTGGTCCAGAGAAGCAGGCTCTCCCAGCTGTGGGGTTAACCATCAGGGAGCTGACCTGAAAGCTTTCCAAGGCTGAGCGGATTCTGCATTCCGTCCAGCGTCCACCCACACCCACCTCCTAGGACGTTTGTTTAGGAATCTGTCTCAAATTCCAAAAAGTATGAAATGGCTTCATACTCAAAAAAAATTGGGGGCTAAAGAGGCCAAAATACCAGAAAATGACATTCTGGCCCAAGCAAAAATTATTTGTAAGTATTTAGGGTTGAAATGACACAGTTCAAGATCCCTCCAGATAACCTCAGTCCACATCTGGAGTGGGAGTAGTGGAGTGATATATACATTTCTGCTTTCGTTCGGATTTGCTTCCCTCTTCCTCCAATTTGGAGACTAGTCTTCATTTTTAAAAAGGGTGGGACAAATCTGGCTGAGGAAGTTTGGCTGGGCCTTGACCACCCTCCCACCTTGGGGAGGGCTGGGAGTGAGAGAACCACATCTGGTTATCCCAGCTCCCTGCTGCTGTGCACTGGGCTTCATAGCCTGCAGGGCCAAGGCAGCGGTGGACCTCCAGCTAGGTAGACTGGGTCAGACAGGGTCTCTCACTAAGCTGAGGCTTGATGTTCCAGCTAGGATGGCTGGCTGGTGAGCTCCTGGGGTCTGCTGGCCTCTAACACTGGGGTTAAGCATACCACACCCAGCTTTTCATGAGTGCAGGGAATTGGTATCAGCAGGTGCTTTCCACACCGAGTGCTCTGGCCCTCTGTGCAGCTCTGCGCCTTTCCTGGAACTCACTCTGTAGCCCAGGCTGGCCTCGAACTCACAGAGACCCGCCTGCCTCTGCCTGCCGAGTGCTGGGATTAAAGGCGTGCGCCACCACCGCCCGGCTTTTTCCTGTGGTTCTTTATGTGACTCCATTGTGGGGAATTTGTGGGACACGCCTGCAGATAGACACAGGATAGTGATGGTACGTTTCGGAGCTTCTGTCCAAGCAGCAACCGGAAGAGCGGAAGACCCAGACGGAGAAGCTGGGGCATGTGCTGAACGAAGATGAATGTGTCCTTCCTCTGACTTTAAAGCTACAGTTGCTTTTATTATCCCCTCAAGGCCAACAGTAGAGTTTCGTAGACGCACATTCACATTGGCAGGAGTACCGTGCAGCCTTCTCTCATACTCTCTGCATAAGTAACTCCCCACTTCAGCCCCATTTACTATTGCCGCATTAAATATAAATGAGGAAGCCATTAGTATCTTGGCCTTGTCCTATGCTTCAGAGTGGAGGGCATAATTCTGCCACTGCAACCTCATTTTAATCCTGACTTTACTGTTTATAATAATCATTGTACGAGTTGTGCCTGGTCATGTACTTCTCAATGTTTTAGGGCCTCCGTCTCTTAGCATTCATATTATTCAAGTGGAATAGATAGTAAAAATGAAACACTTGAATTCGAAAATTAGGTGAGGCTGCTTCTGATAGGTACAGGTGTAATGGGTAGGTTCGAACATCATCTTCTTCCTCCTATATTTCTGGAATGGTCAAAACAGCCAAATGGTCCTCACCAGCATATCATTAAAGAATGTTTGTAATAAAATCACAGTCACAGCTGAATTCCTTCCCTCCTCCCGACTTCTTTCTGTGTATATGGACCTGAACAGCACGTGTTTAAGAGACAAGTCATGGATACAGTTGGGTTATTTACGTGATTCCCATGCAGCCTTTTGATATGTTCCAGCTTTTTTTTCCTGTTGCTGTGACGAAACACTCTGATCAGAAGCAACTTAGAGGAGGAAAGGGTTTGTTTGAGCTTGCACTTCCGGGTCACAGTCCACCATGGAGGGAAGTCAGGGCAGGAACTCAAGCAGGACTTGAAGGAGAAAGCATGCCACTCCTGGCTTTTTGTGTGGATTCTGGTATCTGAACCCAGGTCTGATGCTCTTCCCCACTGAGCCAACCCCCCAGCCTGTGTTCTAGCTCAATCCTATGGTTCCTTATAGCTGTAGTTATGACCCAGGCGCTCTCCTGTCACACGTACGTGGGTTATTGCTCATCTCGGCTGCCACAAGCTCACTACTATCAA